GAAATGATGATTTCTCATTTTGCAACTAAAAGATGCCATGAGGATATACCACAAACCAGGAAGGTCTCAATGTAGTGATGGGTGCTGGAGAGCCAGTCTTTGAAATTATTTTTGAGGGTAATTTTAGTAGCTCTGTTCCAATGATTCTCTTTTTAAGACTGCTATTTTTCTGAGTGGCACATATGCCAGTAGAGCAGAATAAAAGCCTAATAAAAACATAGCTGATTATAAATGAGATTTTCCAGTAAGTTGCTTTTCACTAGCTGGGGCGCTTGGCATCATCCTTGAAAACCAAGGTTTCCAATGATCTGCCTGAGAAGTTAATGACATAGTTCCCATGGCAAAGAAGCCTGGATCCAAGGGTATTATATAGTTTTGCGGATTTTTAAATGTTCATTTTAACAGTCCCTTGTTCCTGGAATTGCTACTCTCTCAAGCCATTTCCTACATGTCATTGACTGTGTCATCTATATGCACAGATACCTGTAGATGCTAAAAGGGCCAGTTATGTAGGGAAATTAAACTCATTCCCCAAATGCACAGTGAATTTCCCATACTGCCTTGTGAATACTAGACACATTCTCTACCATATAGCTCCAGCCCTGCCCTCAACTTCTCAAGTTTAACTTCCTAAAATTATCATCTGCAGGAATATTTTCTTCTGTCTTTGGAGATGATAGGTAAAGCTTAGGAGAACAGAGGAAATACAGCCTATCAAGAAACAGTCTCACTTTGGCCCTGGAGGAAACATTGAATGCTACATTTTTATGTCTTATAAAAAGATCCCTCATCTCCCTCTTATATCTGCCATCCTTTGGGATAGTAAATGTTCCTTTTCCTTCCAATATGATGGAAGCTGGCTATGTTAATGTCATTTTAAACCCATGACTGAATTTGATTTCAGTGATTCTTAAGAATTTCTCACTTGAAACTCAAACTATTAAATTTTTATCATGAGAGAATATGTTCAGATGATGCTACTCAATGGCACATCAGAGATCTGGGGCTGTTGACATTTGCATATTTAAGTGGGTGTGGAGGGTAACATGCCATGTCATGAAGATCAGAGGACAACTTGCAAGAGTTAATTTTCTCCTTCCACCATGTGGGTTCATGGAATCCAGCTCAGTTTGGCAGGCTAGGCAGCGAGTTTCACTAAGTGACGGGCCATCCTCTGACCAGAGACTGGTGTTTTTGAAAAGAGGATTTGAAAAATGGTGGGAGGACTAGAGGAAGGATTGGAGGGGGATGTGAAGATGGTTTTGTCAAAACACATTATATTCTTGTGTGAAATTCTCAAGCAATAAAAAAATTAACAGGGGAACATTTTTTACAGTGATGTATCCAGCTACACAATACACCTCCACTCTGTATCAAAGATGGCATATTCCTTCCACAGAGCTTTTCCCCCATAGTCCTGGAGACAGAATCCAGAGCTTTTCACATAATAGGCAACTCCTACCAGTGAGCTATAGCCTAAGCCCTTTTCTTCTTTGCATTTTTTAGAAAAGTTCTCTATAAGTTGCCCAGGGTGACCTTGAACTTGATCTGTAACCTGTGAGAGGGCTTGAACTCATGGTCCTTCTGCTTCAGCCCCCCATGTGACTGGGTTGACAGACCTGTGACACCACGTCTGGGCTTAGTGTGCTCTTCTTTCATACAACTGACTGTGCTATCCAAGCTGTGCTAGTTACAGTCTAGTCTAAAAGAATGTGATTGGGCTTTTCTTACATAAACCTTACATTGCTTTTAAAACTCTAAAGGGCTAGCATGAAGCCCTAGAACAGCAACTAGAGTCTGGATAAAGTCAGAGAACTGTTTTAAAACAGAATAGATTTCCGAGATAATAAATATCCTTCATTTATTTACCAATGTAGCGTGTGTAGCTCTTACTATATATGAGACACTGTGGCAGACACTACGAACAGTGTCTCTGTTCTCAAGGAGCTTGCATTCTGGTGATTTTTTGGAATAACCTATAGACTGAAGTGGAGGCCCATGTGAGTATGATGGGCCAGAGGATGACTGACATGCTCTTCCAGAAAAGCTCCCACGATCCTCCATGCTCCTCTAAGCTGAGTGCCTCTCTCTGTGCTCTCAGGAGGATGGTCTTACCTGCTGGGGCAGCTGTTGTTTCAGTCTTTACTTCTGTGTCCCAGCTGACACATCAGCTGTGGGAGCCAGCTCGGTACTCATGAGCTCTAGAGCAGTAACCAGTCCTTCCTCGGCTTTGGCTTTTGACAAGCACTCTGCTGAGTGGTTTGCACAAAGGAGTTGATGAAGCCCACCCACAGACATACAAACCAGAGCTCACTCTGCTTATTCTCTTCTGAATGAAACCCAGCGAGGCTAGGAAACTTTTTCCAAGGCTGGTCATGGGGGCAGTAGGCGAAGAAAGTCGTGATGGCAGGGAGTGTCTGACAAGGGTGGGGCTGTGGTGGAGATAAGTGACAGGACAGGCACAGAAGCAGGGCCAGGGCTTATTGTTATTAGAATTGTGGGATTTCTCCATGTAGTTTGGCTTGGGCTTTGATTTGCTTTGTTTTTAATTTTGTGTATGTGTAAGGGTGGTGTGTGTGTGTGTGTGCACGCACGCACGTGTGCACACATTACACTCTCATAGGTACATAGGCTCATGCATATAATGTTGAATGCCCACAGATTCCAAAGAAGGGTATTGGATCCCTGGAGCCAGGGTACAAATTATTGTGAGTCACCCAACATGGATCCTCTGCAAAAGTTGTTCGAGCCAGCTCTCCATCCACTCCCATGACTGAGCTTTTCTGACACCCAGTTAAATGTTGCGGAGTGCCTCCCTCACCTCACTGTAGTCTCAAGATTGTTGGTACTACCACAGTACCACAATTAAAGAGGAATTACCTATTCTTTACTGGTTATTCCAGCTAACTTTAGAATGTTTTTTTAAATAACATTTTGCCTTATGTCTGTAAGGCTGAGAGTAAGCCCTTAGGATAAAAGTGAGTAGATACCTCATAAATACCTGTTGGACTCAACTTTCTGCTCCAGAGAAATTGTACAGAAGACTGGTTTCTATTCTGTGAAAGGAAAACACTGGAGAAGCACATTACTCCACTATATAATGCTGCTGGCTGTACAACTGTTCATGCCGTTTTATTTTAAACATGACAATAGGATCCACTGTCAACAAACATTTGGCATACCTTACCTTGATCCTCCCCCCCCCCCCCCCGTAAAGCTGAACCCTGAGTCTGAGCAATGTGGAATAGCATTAGCAAGTCACAGTCAGCATTAATGTAGTCACAGGGAACACATTAGCAAGTCACAGTCCAGGTCAATGTCAGTCCAAACCTGGGACCTTTCCACTTAGCCACCTTCCTTTCTGTTTTGCAAGGAAGCTGGCCAGATGAAAAAGATGGTGAGTTATGCAAAGTAAGTTCTGCAGGTAGCTGCCAGGCAGAAGGGGAAGGGAACTGCCTGTTTTTTGTGCGGTTTCATCGCTAGTCATTGCTGTAGGAGCGTCTTGGGGATTATCCCAGACTATAGTATAACCTTGTCCTGTATACACTTGAAGAGAGAGATCCAGATCCTCCATTGTGTAGAAGAAGGAAGGGAGCAACACATTGTCTTCCAGGCTTGCTCCCTTTCAGGTAAATTGAATAGGCACTCTCCCTGATTGGCAAGGAAGCCAAACTTGGTTAACGTCTCTGATCATCCCAGGTCAGACATAGGGGAGCTGGTTATCAACATCTTTTCTTGTCACTCCAGCTTCCATGGGTCATTTCTAAGACCCTGCTCTGGTGGCCAGTGTGATTGGTACACCCTGATGATATTTCCCAGTGTCTATTCCCTAAAATGTCAGCGCTATATGGGATTCTATAGCGAAGCGAGTTTAAGCAAGCTTTTCTGCTTCATTGTTTCTCGGGATCTTCAGAGGGCTGATCTGATGTAGGTGTTGTGTCCAAGAGAGCTGTGTGGTGGCCAGCTTTGCTTGAACCAGGGAACTTGTTGATGAGCAACATTAAGATAGGTGTGGGGCGGGATTCACTTTGAAAAGAGACTTGTCACAGTCTTTAGCATACTCTCATTAGTAAATGCCAAGAGGGTGAAAACTTGGGAAATGATTTTTATGCTCATGATGTCCATATTCTTTTTTCTCTCTCTTTTTGTTGGGACAAAAATGACAAGTTGTATAAGGTTTCAAAACTAGGAATGTATTACCCTACATTTTACAACTTTAAGATGTACCTACCTCCTTGGGTCCTTTCCATCCATCTGAGATGGATAGGCATAGGTAGGCTTGGTGTGTGTGTGTGTGTGTGTGGGTGGGTGTGGGTGTGTAAAACACTTAAAATATTTACATACTGTGCTACTTGCTTATATATGTCAGTCATCTCATTACTCCTCTCAGTAAGTCAGTGATTTAGTAAATGAAATACCCAAATTGTACCTTGGGAAATTGAGGCTCACAGGGTTTTAGTAACTTCCCACAGGGGCACAACAAGCAGACAAATGAGCTACAGTTTAGACATGGCTCCTTCCCAACCCTGTATCCTGTGAATTTAAGCCCTGAGATGGAAAATTGTTATTTTGCTGAGCTGGAAAACAAATCTTTGTCTTGAACTTACCGCCAGGGAGTTTATCTTGCCTTGAGGATCCCATGTTGAGTGATGACAGACATTCGGAAGCTGCCCTGCCTTTTGTCTGTCCTTGCCTCCCTCCTCTGACTTTCAGTGTCACCGAGGCTTCATAACACAGTCCTGACCGCATTGTTTTCTGTTTTATGGATCTCTACTGCCCTTTGTTATAAATACATTTAGAAATGATTGTGGCTTTCTCTTGATGTCTCAACGTTTTTAAGTGATTTATTTTGATAGTACTTTAGCCTCATGATTTCAAATATTAAGTTACTGAGTTCAGGTGGTCTTATATTTTCTCCATAAATGTGTTTATGTCACTCCATAGACTGAGAAATTTCATTCCAGGGTTTTCTCCCCTTTCTTCATTTGATTTTCCTGCAGGAGGAGAACTGAGTTCTTTGAACTTGTCAGTAAAGGAAACTACGATTGGAACATCAAAAGTCACCGTGATGTGTTTCGGTAAGAAACAGCGTGCCTTTGTGTGGGTTTGCCATTATTGGATATTTAGCCACACCTTTTCTGTGTATATTGAAAAGGCTTCCGATGATCAATTGAATAGAATCTAAGTAATTATCCCAAGAGATCATTTCCTGTGCAAGAGACACCACTGTGTGTTACCCATATCCACGCTCCCTCCTGTACTCACAGAACCTAAAATGAGACTCCTTAGAGTGTGTTGAGCAGCTTTGTAATAAACACAGAATCCTGAACCTTTTTTTACCTTGAGACAGTTACTTAATCTCTCCAGGCTTTTGTTTGTAAATATGAACAGTAAGGTCCACCTCCGAGGCCACAGAGAAGGCTCTGTTAGGCAGCAGTTAGTCCTTTAGTTAGGACAGCACTCAGTATAGAAGCAGGGGAAAGCGGCACAGCCCGATGCTGGCTACAGAGAACCCAACAGCAGACCTAGGTGTCTCCCTTGCACAAGCTTAGCATCAGGGTGTTTGGATACTGCTCTATCCCAGGTGAGTGGCTGATGCTGGAGCTGCCTGGCTCGCCCTGAATGTCCCATTGTTAGCTGGGACTCTGCCAGCTCCAATCCTGCTCTGCCATCTGGGCAGCAGACATGTTTCCAAGACATTGAGATCCAGCGGGGTTTAAAACTCTAGCTGACAGCAGGGCAGCCCTCTGACCTTTTACACAGAACCCTTTCTTCCAAAAGCAGCCAGCCAGGGCACCTCCCAGCTCCTGCCTGTGCGATTTACTCTCCATTCAGGACTTCTAGTGTTAGCTGAAAAACAGCAGACCAGGGGCGAGAGACATACCTTCATTTCTACCCTCCCACCATATCTGAGAACATTCTGTGAATGATTTGAATTATTTCCAGTGTTTCCGTGGTTCAGTGTGAATACTAGTTTAATCTACCCCTGGAAAACCTGACTCGCGTTGTTCCTGTGTTTTATGCATGCAACATTAAGGAAAGCCTTAGCTGGGCATGTTTTTGAGAATGTGTATAGAACATGGTAGTCCCCAGGTAGTAACCCAGATGACACAGTGTGGCTCTGTCTGGTGAATCTTGGCTCTGTGGAACTGTGAACACAAAAGAGTCCCCTACACAGCATGAACCTCACCTCTTTGGTGTGGATTTCTGTCCTTTGTCATCAGTGTTAAGTCGATAAACATATTCGCTGGCCACACAGCATTATATACCAATCACCTTGCTTAGAGTTAAGCTAGGTGGAGGGGATGGGGGTAGGGGAACCAGGGGGAGGGGAGGCTCTTTGCACATTATTTAACCGGAGCCTGCTTGACTTAGGTGTAGAGAGAGGACTGTTTGTTTTCCTGGATTTGCTGCAGACAAAACAAAAGGGCACAGGGAGGATGTGAGAGGTCTTTGTCTTCTAGGCAGCAGTGGCTGCGTGGCAGGGGGACGTTGAACAGCGTGGGGCCTTGTTTAGGGGAGAAGATGTAGGCCGACCCTGCTTTCACTTTATTTATTTATGGACCTAGGGTTTGTTTAGGAATGCAGCAGAGGATTATTCAGGCCGTTCGGTTCTGTTTTTCAGATCGATGTTAATGACAGCCTGTGACCTTGGAGCCGTGACCAAACCATGGGAGATCTCCAGACAGGCAAGTGGTGATTAATGGCACAGCTCAGCAGAGGAGGGCCTGGGGGAGATGGGGGGAGGGAGGGTGAGCACTGAGAACAGAGTCTGCATAGGTGCTGGCCTGCACAGAGCTGCAGCCGACTAAGTCAGAAGGCCGTCTTAACCCACAGTCTTTCTCCCAGGGCTTCCACTGAACAGTGCTGTTTCTGGCTGCAAGATTCTTGCAGTGTGCTAAATCTGAATAATGTTTTGACCATCCTTCAGCAGACAGTTCACAATACTGTTTTTGAACAAGTAATCCTGTTTTAGCGCAAGAACCTGTTTATCACTCATGAAAAAGAAGGCAGGAAAGTGAGATTCTGTTTTGTTTCCAAATACTATTTAAGTACCAGAGGGCTCTATGGCCAAATTGTACCGTGTCCTATTTAATTTTTACAGAGACCAATAGTAGTTTTACGGTTTCCCGATGCACCCAAGCATTATTTTTAAGCAATAGTAGTCTTGAATAAAGTTAGCTCCCTAACTATTTGATTACCAAGATCATTGGTTACTAAGAGGGGCTCTTCTCCTCCTCTTTACCTTTATTTTATTTTACTGTTTTCTTGAGGCAGGATAACTTTATAGTCTCTAGGCTGCTCTCAAATTCTCTGGCTCAAAAAATGCCTCTGCCTCAGCCTCCTGAGTACATGACTGGCTAGCAGCAAACTCACTAAGCTTTGTGAGACACCTATTATTGAGACGGTGGGATCCTAAAATGACATTTGGGGGGAAAGAAGGTATATTAATAAATGACTGGTTAATATGTGTTGTTTCATTTAATGTATGGTAGGTAGTTGGTACATAGACTGAGTAACCACAACACAAAGTTATCATATCATGATCCCAGAAATCTATAACCATTACCTGAGAAGAAAATGACAGTTTTCCGTGTGCAAGAATAGATATAAGTAAGGATTTGTTGAAGGAGAAGAGCCTGGACTATCCGGGTGGGTCCCAACCCCAGTCACAGATGTCCTTGTAGAAGAGCAGAGGGAGCACAGAATTCAGACGAGAAGGCAATGTCAGTGAGACTCAGACAGATCCTGGAATGATGGTGTCTACACCCCAAGAAGTGCTGGCAGCTACTGAAGAGAGGCAAGGAACAGAACAGAGCCTTCAAAAGAGCACGGAGCCAACCCCTGGGCTTCTGCTCATCGCCCTGATGTAGACCAAGAACTGTGTAAAAAGAGCTGCTTCCTGTTGTCTTAGCCATGGAGTTTGGAGTGATGTTTGGAGTTTTAGGATAATTGACTTGGTCATTACATTCACTTTACAATGGGAAGGATGGGGCTTAGAAAGGATAAGTAGCCAATGTGCTCTGTAGATAGTAGCTGGTAAAATAAACATAGACTTGTTCTTCTCCTCCCTGGCTACTTGAGGTTAACTGCTGTCATGACTAACACAGAAAATATGCAGACCAGACGTCCATCGCCAATTGGCTACTTAAGCGGAAACAGTCATTGATGACCTTCACACTGGGAAGGCGACAGTTCCTGAGCCAGGAATTTGAAAAAAAAAAAAAACTAGCCAAAATATACAGGCTCACACTAGATGTAAGCTTTGTGTTTGGATTCAGAACTTGTTCTGGTGGTGGACAGACAAGGGAGTTGAGTGTGATCCATGATTCCTTGGGTTATGAAAAGAATGAATAAGACACAGGCTTGCAAGACACAGGCTTAAACAGTTCTAAACTTTTGACACTAAGACATGATAGTGTCATTTGCAAAGCTCATGCCCAAGAACCAGGCAATGAAGTTACAGCAGCAACAAAAACTTTCTGGTTTATGTGAGTTTACAGTTTTCCATTAGGCCGTACTCAAAGTGGCCAGCACCTCTATTCTCATTCTGGACTGGGATGATGGGCCACAGAGGGACTGACAGTTAGAAATCCAATGCCTTCAATAATCCATCGGTCCAGACTTGTCACATGACCCTATTCCACCAAGAAGTACAATCCATACCTGTGTCCAGAAAGCAGTAAGTCAGAAGCAGTTTGTGAGAATGTGTTTAGCACAGTTTGCCCTTAAGATCACCAGAAGTGTCTCTCACTGTCCTTTCAGACAAAGCATATCCATTCTCTCCCCAGGGATGACAATTTGGATGGCCCATGAGTCAAAGCGTCATGCTCACTGTCTAGAATCTCCAGATGATTTGTGCCATCCCTACCACAGGTCTGGGTGTAACTCAAGGACCTACACATGCCCAAAATACAGCATCAGAGAGCCACCTCCACACACAGGATACCACCTCAGCAGTCGCAGTCAGCAAGGGAAGAGATAAAGGACATTTGCAGCCAATGGTGTGTGGAGATCCCAAGCCCTCCAGGCATTCATTATGAAGTCTCCACCAGCAGTAGGACTGACTCCCTGGGAAGTTTCCCACCCATGGCTTTCTTTCCATGACTTTTTAGCTCTTCTAGGAAATGATTCCTTTCCCACTATCTCCTATGATATTATTTGATGGTTAGGTAGCTTCTTAAGCCTACTTATCACCTGAAAAAGGCAGCAAGTTGGTTTTACATAGTCACAGACTTACAGTTTCTTAAGCACAAAAGTGCTCCTAAACATTCAACAAAAACAAAAGGATACCATGATTCTTTTCTATATGAACATCTTAGGTTCTTTTTGCTTTCTGACATTCAGGAAGAGACAAATATAGCAAATCTGCTTCTCTCTTATTCTTCATCTGAGAACCCGAGGTCTCACTGCTTTCATGAGAGAACTCTGAAGTTAAATTATTTTCTAAGCCTTTTTTTATTTATTTAAAAAAAAATTAGCTGGGCCAGATGGCTCATCAGGTAAAGGTGCTTAATGACAAGATCTGATGCCCTGAGATCCATTCCCCAGACCCATAAGGTAGGTGCAAAGAGAGAACCAACTCCTGCAAGTTGTCCTCTGACCACCACGCCACACACACACACACACACACACACACACACACACACACACTATTTATTTTTAAAAAGAATTTGCTGAAAGTCAGCTAATTCATTCAGATATTTTATCCGTAAGTATGCGGGCCATACCATTGGTTAGATTTCAAGGCTGTCTTAATATTTTTCATCTAAAGCATACCTTAATCCTAACGTTTCTTGTTTGGCATTAAGAAGCAGCTTCATCTCTGTTCCCACAAGACTGGATTTTTCTGTTCCCTTTCATCCTCATCATACACCTGCTAATCCTTCCTGAGTTCACCTCGAGGCTTCCTGGGGAACAGGCAGCAGCTGCTAATGTATGCTGTTGGCATTTTGTTTTTCAATCACTTCTCCCGAAATTATACGTTCCTTAGGAATGGTGCTTACTCTCCTTCAGTGATAACTACACGAAGTCACAGAAGAGTCAGTCCTCTGTGCAGCCTCCTGTCTGCCTGTCTGATACCTGGCTTCCAGCTGATCCATGTCTTAAGCAGTCTCTCTCTCTCTCTCTCTCTCTCTCTCTCTCTCTCTCTCTCTCTCTCTGTCTCTCTGTCTCTCTCTCTCTCTCTCATTTTCTTTTCTCCCTTTTTTGTGTTTTTAACAATCAACACCTTACTTTAATACCAGTTCTCTCCTATGCCAAGGTTAGGATAGGAACACAAACGATATTTTTTATTCTCGAGTCACATTATCAGACACACGAGGTCACATAAAGAACTTGGGAGGTTGACTAACACCTCCTAGCATCTCTGCCCATCATGTGAGAAGGTGCCAGACCACACAGAAGCAGGTGGCTCTTCCAGGCACTGGGGAACCTGTAGGGCTAAGGTAGCTCCTGTGGTAGTGATGGAAGAGGAGCAGTTCCAGGCTACTGGAGGCCCAGGGAAATGCACATCAAGAATGAAGGTGGCAACCCACACAAGATCTGCACAGGATCGAGCCGACAGTCAGCCAGCATTGCAGCAGCAGCACTGGCAGAACTGCTGACTTATAAAACAGAGGGGAGGGGACATGTTGGGAGAGGCCCAGAGTGGGGTTAGAGCAAAGAGAGAAGCTGGGGGTCTAAATGATCAGGATACATTATGTACATTATAAATCTGTGAAGTGGCTAAGGCAGGAGAGGGGAGAACCCAGGTCCAGAATCTAAAAGTGCAGGGGACCTGGGAAGCGTGAATCACTTCCTATTACTCCTGTGCAGCTGAATTCTTGAATGGAACCCACACTTCGCACCAGAAATGTTAGAAATCTGGCCTTACTGGATATTTGGGCCTCTTGATATTGCTGCTCTCATCTTTACTGTGTGTATATATGTACACGTGTAAGTTTAATGTTGTCTTTAAATTTTATTATCCATGTCTTCAGGTACATATAAATAAACTATCTTTTTTTTTTTTGCAGTGCTGTGACTTTATGTACATTAAGTGTGCACTCCATCACAAAGCTATAACCCAGAACTCTTTTTCACTGTTTGAGACATGTTCTCACTAAATTCTGTAAGGTATCTTTAAACTCACTATCACCAGGCAGATCTTGCCTCAAAACCCTGAGTAGCTATGATTGTCGGCCCTTGACACCAGATCTGACTTGGGAAAAATTATCTTGATTCCATGTACTCAACCAAATAAAATCATCTCACTTTATAGGGTATAGGATTCTCTTCTGTAAGAGTATTAAAATGGAGAAAAGGCAGTTTGGGGACCCAGGCTCCTTGCCATCCATTGTCTAGAACTCCCCCCCTCCGAGTCTCCCAATACACTACAATCCCAGTTAATTCATTCAGAGATTCGCTAGCTGCACACCTTAGTGTCCTAAGAAATACTCGTTGGCGTTTGTCTGTTCTATCAATTATCTTTCCTCAATGATCCTGAGAACCACAAACTGAGGGACTAGAAGGAAAAAAAGCCTTTGTATTGTGGCTGTGGATCATCCATGCTCGTGGGTGAAAGCGGGGAGGGGGAGGGGATGCAGGTGCCAGTGATTGGGGGCGGAGCAACCATTGCATTATGGGTATAGCGGAGCTGAAGTGCTGCAATCTACATCTTGCACACCAGTGCAAACTGAGAATTAAGGGGCCTACCATAAATCAGCACTTTCAATACCAGACTCAGCATCCTGACGACCATGCTCTTCGAATTAAGATCATTTCCATGCAGAAATAACTTCTGAGCCTCATGGTGTGCTACACCACAAACGATTTAAAACGATTCTGTGTTTCAGGTGGCTGAACTTGTAACCAGCGAGTTCTTTGAGCAAGGAGATCGGGAAAGGTCGGAACTCAAACTCACTCCCTCAGTAAGCTTGTCCTTTTACTACCGCAGCTTGAAATGGGAAAGACTGCGAAGGGGTTCGGAGAACTGAAAGCTTGAAACTTTAACTAAACAAGAATGCTGACCACCGCGCTCCCGGGGTTTCTGATTGAGACTGCTGAACTACTTAACAAGCATTACCCGAGCACCCACAGCGGGACAAACAAGCAGGCACAAGGGATGTGTGTGCAGGGCGGAGTCCGAACAGCTCAGCGCCAGCGCGGGCTTTTTACGCATGCCCACTTTAGAACAGAAGTAACAGCAGAGTTAAAGTCCAGCCGTCCAGCCTCAAGGAATTAGCTGGGTTTTATTCTTCAGTTCCAAACTTTCAAACTTGCCAAAGCAAGTCATTTCAAACCATTTTTTTTTTTGTTTTGTTTTGTTTTCAAACTGAAACGTGGGGAATCCAGGTTCTGGGGCTGTTGGCATGCTATTTATGTTGGATTACCTCATGCTGCCCTTATTTGAAAATGCTGATGGTAAGCTGGGGATGCTGTCCCTGCCTTCAAGATAAAGAAGCCTTGGTCACCACCCTCAGGGAGGGACCAGCCTCTTCATGCCTGGACACTCCAAGAGTGGGAGAAGTATTTTAAAGCCTAGTACTACAACACACACAGTAGGCTGATTGAAGCACAAAGTCTTGAGCATTTGGAGATATTAGTAAGATCTTTGCATTTGCACACACCACACTTTGCTGATTTTCAAACATCAGAGAGGCAGCAGGACCCTGTCCTACCTTGAACAGTTTCACTTGAACAGAAAGCACAGCCCGCAGTCTGTCTGAGGTTGAAGTTTCTGTTAGTGACTTACCTGTGAAAGGCCGCAGGACGACACAGGTTGAAACGCACGCTTTGAGATCTTAGTTTTCAAGCAGTAGGCATTTATATGGGGATCAGAACACCATTTATTCTTTCTGGTGGTCATACCAAATTTGGTTTTGAAAAGAAAGGTATTAGTTTAGAAGACATAGCGTTCATTTGTAAAACCTATAACCCAAATTTCTCTAAGCTACATATCTACATTAAAATAAAAGCTTTTTCCTCCCTATGACAACTGTTTTTGAGGCATTCTCTGAAGAGTTTACATTGCAGCAGCACAGGTCATGTAATTAAATGAAGAAAAACCTGATAAAATTACAGGCTCAGCTAAAGCCTTCTCTGAAGACAGATTAAATCAGTTCCATGGTAGATATACAAGTCGTAGGTGCCCCTCTCTCCTCACAAAAGGTTACTTAACGTAGCTGTCTCCTCAGGAAAGTCTAGCTTCTGAGTGGGAACTTTCCCTTGCTGACCCATCTTCAGAAAGCTTGAAACGTTTAGCCTTTCAGGAAGCACCCCTAGGGTTCTGTTGGCCAGAGATCATCACAGTAACTTTCTGAGACCACACTGAAGCTGGGCCACGGTCAGAGGGGTCACGTTAGAAGCAGTGAGCTGGCTGATAAAATGGGCTTGAATACCAGCATGCACCACACACAAAGCTCAGCACAGTGTACCCAGAAATGAGGGGACATCATCTTCCCCACCTTCAGGGACCCCAGGAAATATCAAGTGATAAATAATTGTGAGTGCTCAATTGTGAGGTGTGTAGACAGAAAGCTCAGGATAGTGGGGGTGCCCCTGCTCACTCTTACCTCTTCAAATCTTGATTAAGAAGTGACAAGCCAGAAATAAACCCTTACAATGATGGTCCACTGATTCCAACATAACTTCTGAGACAATTTGGTGGGAAAAACCAAATCAGCTAATGATCCATGGCTAAGTGGCTATTTCCAAGTAAAAGGGATTGAAGTTCTGGCCCTTCTTCTTAATGTACCCACAAGTAAATTCATATTGTTTGCTAAAACAGCTAAATCTGTCTAAAAGCTAAGATAATAAAAGTCTTCAAAGAAGACAGAGGTCTAAATCTTTTTGAGTTTGATTCAGCCATGGTGTCTTAGATATGATACCAGAAATACAAAAGGCAGAAGATAAAATGATCAGAGATGCTAGCTTGTATTTTACCAAAATTAAACTGGACTTGATCAAAGCTTAAACTATGTCTATACCAAATGATATTATAAGGCAAACAAGGAGAAAATCTACACAATAGGGAAATTATTTACAGATTGCATATATGACATGGGACTCATAGTTACAACATTAGAATAACTAATAACAAAAAGAGACAATGCAGTTAAAATTGGAAAAAAACACACATAAGCATATCACTCACGAACATACTCATGAAAGAACACATAAGCAACAATCACACAAAAGGATGGTTAAAATCTTTAACCATCATGAAAATGCAAATCTCAGTCACAGTGACAGTAAGAGGGCTGTTATTAAAGAGACAGACAATACAAACACAGATCAGTTTTCGGAGAAGCCAGGACATAACGAGATGCATGATGAAATGCAAACTAATGCAGTTACTTTGAAAATCGAGTCTGGGATCCTCAAAACGTTAGACATAGGGCCAGCGAGATGCTTCAGCAGGCAAAGCACTCACTATACAAGCCTGGCGACCTGAGTTCCATCTCCGGATCCCACAGAGACAGGAGAGAACCAACTCCTGAGAGCTGTCCTCTGACCTCAACGTGCATATCACGGCGTCGTCATCACCAACGTGAAAAATAAAGTTTAAAATAAAAAGCTCAACATGGAGTTACCATATAACCCATTCACTTAATAGGTTTATCCCCTAAGGAAATAAAAAGCACACCCATACAAAAACTTCCACACAACTGTTCACACCAGCGTCACTCATAGCAGCCACAATGTGGCGACAATCCTAGTGTCCATCAGCTGATGAATTAATAAACAAAATGTCATAAATCTCTGCCCTGAAGTATAATATAACAAAAAGTGAATAAAGTGTTGATACTTGCTACCTAGGTATACTTTTAAAGTCAAGCTACATGAAAGAAGCCGGTCCTAAAATAACATTCACATATGGTTCCATTTAAACAAGTTGTGTAAAATAGGCAAATCAGTACAGGTACGAATAAATCACTGCTTGCCTAAGGCTGGAAGTTTGCAAGAAGGTAGAGTTGCTATTGTTGATGTGGATTTTAAAATTATGTGTAGTGATAATCATACAGTTCTGTGTGTATACTGAGATTCCTTGAAGTTTTGAGATTGTTTCTATACAATGTCCATCAGAAACAGAGCAGTTAAATAAGTGATTGAGGCAATAAATCATACCGTTTGAGTTTGGGTGTGGTCTCAGTCCTGAGGTTTCATGTGCTAAAACTTAATTCCCAATGTGTGTATTGAGAGCATGGAAACTCAATCCCATTCCAATCAGGAGAGGCATGGCCTTTGGAAGTTATTAGGACTAGACAAGTTCACTAGTGGGGAACTCCATAATCAAATTAGTGTGGATCATAGGAAGGGAGAGGCAACAGAAGTCAAAAAAGTTCGCTCCTTGTCTCGTGCTGTATGCTGTCCTGAGATTCTCAGGGCATCCAGCAAGAAAGGTATCAACAGATGCAAGCACTCCAGCCTCCATGACTGTGAGTCAAACAAACCTTTTTCTTTACAAAGCTACTCTCAGCCTCGGGTGTTTCGTTATAATGGCACAACATGTATAGACACACAGAAATTTTAAAGGAACATTTTGGAAGCAAGCTTTATGTATCTCAGAACAACTGTCACTTTTTCCAGTACATTCCATAGTCTTCTCCGAACTCTCATTTCTCAGAAAGGATGAGCAGGGTCTATGGAAGTCAGTGGCTCTCTCCCTACTGTAGGTAGAGACATTTTCCTCCAATTTGGTAACTAGTGATATCTAACACACACACTCCCTGTGTGGTTCATCAGTCTGAAGGATGCAGCCTTTTCACCATCTCAGGACTAAGGATGAGGCTTGGACCTGCCCTCATGACTTCTATAGACACCAGAAAGATGTGGGTGCCGCATCTTTCCTCGATTTTCAATAAAGAAAGACAAGCTCTAACTAGGCAGTGCCGCCTTCCAGATCAGCGGGCATAAGGTAACGTCATAGGCCCCAGCCTTACTCCTTAAGAACAAAGGGAAGGACATTCCCACTAGAGTTCAGCTGGCTGTTCATTAAAGAAATCCTTTTTAACCGTCTAATTCAAGTTGATTGAAGTCTTCCCAACAGAAATAAATCACTCTGGCTTTTTAGAAATGTGCAAAAACTATATCAAGCATAATAACATCATAAAATTTAAAGGCTGGGGTGGAGAAAGGACGATGCCTGCCACCAGCATCCATCCAAAGACAAGCACTTAGTAACCTACTAATATCAGAACCTTACTAGAAAACATGTGATTGCCTAGCCAGCACCCAACCCTTAAAATCCTCATAAAATAATTTATGTTTAATACAAGGGAAAAAAGAAAATTGCTGTCAAGGATCTTTTCCACTCTCAGATATCTTCTTACTACAGAAATAAAAGCCTGCCTTATTTTGTGGCAGTGAGATGTATCTCCTTCCCCTTGACTTTTACCCAGTTCCCAGTGACCTGGTGACTTGATTTACTAACAGTTACCTGTACCTGCAGACAGATTTTGGCCCCGAGGAGTTGAACGCTGTAAAGTTCAAATAAATTCACTTATAAATCACCTAGGATGTGAAAAATACTTTATTTCTTATCGTAGGTAAAGGGAAAGAAGCTATGTGTAAGGGTTGTGATTTGTGGAATATTCCGTTGGTAAAATCTGAAGCGTTATTTGACAAAGTGACTGTAAGATACTCCAGTGAATTAAAGCAGGGTTTCAACTTCTTTGTTCTAGGCTATTTTTGACCGGAACCGGAAAGATGAACTACCCCGGTTGCAACTGGAGTGGATTGACAGCATCTGCATGCCTCTGTATCAGGTACTGCTGACTTGTGAGTGTCTGTGTGTCCTGCCTGAGATGAAGGAGAGCATGGGTAAGGTTTGTTCAGAAACATTTGAAGTTTGAGACACTTGCAGGATATGAACTGTAGACTTGTTTCACACTTTGGACCCAAGAGCTGATGCTTCCATGATGGGGACGTCAGCTCTCTAGCACTTTCTAAAATGTAATCTCCATGGCCTCACCTTCTTTGTCTGTAATCTGGGGATCATAATATTTCATCTCTGCATTCACCAAACGGTGCCCCCATGAAACACCAAACACATTAGAGTATTGAAGGCTTAGAGAAGTCTAATAAGAAAGAAGCATACTTAGCCTTGACTAACTCTTATTTGCTTTTAATTTTTATTAATATCATGCGAAACACCAAAGTTTCATCAAACATTGCCTTTTTGCTTTGACCCCAGGGTCTGGACCACTGGGCTATGTATGGGAAGCATCTCCATATTCAAAATCTGCCTCCTTCTTTAAGCAAACATAACTGTGCCAAGCAGTGAATCCTGAGCGATACCACTAATGAGTTCTTGCTTCACTGCCTGGTGCCGAGCCTGCCCGGGGCAAGGAGACATGTGTCAGCTTTGAATGGTTCACATTCTGCTTTTTGAGTCCCGATCAGGGCCGGCATCCGTTTGCACTAACAGTTTAGTGTACATTGACTTTTAATTCTACGGCTAAGCATTTGCTTTCATCTGTAAACCCCGGCGAGTTCTTTACCCCCAACCTAGCTCAATCAGTCTGAGCCATGTTCCTAACTTCCAAGTGAGATGCACGCAGAGAAAGTGAAACCGCTTTAGTTTCTCATTCTCTGCTACTCCATTAAGAACACAGGATTGTTTTTTAAGGACTTCACAACCATTAAGTCTCAAACTTACCCACCACTTCATTTTCAGTACTGTTACGAGCTACAGAGACCTGTCACAGTCCCCTGAAAACACACAAATTAGAATATTGTCTTCAAGACAGAAATGTAATTCTAATAACCACAAATGATAAAAATGAATTCACTTGTTGTTTCATATAATCCATTAAATGCCCAATATCATAAAATCAATCAGATACAGTTTTTAAACTAATCTAAAATCAATTGTTATGGTTACAAATGGCTATAATATTCCCTCATCTAATAATGAAAGATTGGACCATGAGAATGATGTAGTTTGTTATAAAGGAGATCCTAACTCTCGTGTCTTCCTGTCTGCTCTCCAACCCAAGACACTAAATAAGCAGGCTCCCATATAGAGCCCACCTGTGCTGGGTCAGGAGCCTTTTGCTTTGTTGAGTTGCCTTTGGTTGGTCACATCAAATTATGATCTAGTGTTACTCAGTCCCCCATGCATAGGTATTAATGGGATAGATACATTACTCCTTTAATTAATAAATTCCTCTTACTGGAAGGGAGTAAAACTCAATTAACTTCACACGATGATAAGGATCTGCATGCAGCCCCCACACAAGTCTGGTGTTTTCTTTTCTGATCCACAGTTCTTTGAGTTTATTGTGTATTTGCTACTAAGTACTTTAAAATCTTCGGGTTAAAAAGGAAGTTACTTGAAGTTAAGCAGAAGAGATTAGTGTTGAAGATTTAGGGACTAATATTTCCACAGTGATGATGTAGCATCCTGGTTTTTGGTTGTTTTGGTTTGTTTGTCTGTCTGTTTGTTTGTTTGTTTGTTTCATGTGTCCCTTGCTCATCTTTGAGGTTACATACACCTGCTATTTTCAGGAACTGGAACACGCCTTTAACTGTGTCCTTCTCAGCCTCGACCTTGGCTTTAGTGAGGAGGCTTCCCAACCCAACAGCCTGATTCTCCTTCCAATGGGAAGTCCTCCAACTGATGTTTCTCTGTGTCAAAAGCCACATCACCCTACAGGCGAAAGCAGCTCATAAAGCTGCTACTCGCAGTTCACTGTTCTTGTCTTCTCTCACGCCAGGCAGAGACAGGCTTGCTTGCTTCTGGTTTCTTGTCACCACTATTTTTTTATTTCACAGTTTCAGTTGTAAATTCTTTATAAGCCTTTGAAACCAACCATTCAAAGAGCCATCCAACTGCAAGTACAGCTAGCACTGGAAAATCCTCCCTCGGCATCTCTGTTGTGTTCTCTCATGTGGTGGTGGCTCGCCACAGTTCAGGGGACAATCTCACACAGACTGATGGTGTTCCCCCAAAGGAGATGTTATCAGTCGCTGGGCAGGAATTGCAGCTACTGGAAAGACACTGGTCCCTAAGGCAAAGTGTTTGGGACAAGCAGGGTTACTACAGAAAGGCCATTTGGCTTTTGAACATAGAAATGTAATAATGAGGTTCTGAGAGGATAGGCAGGAGACAAGCCAGGTAGGATGCAGATGGCAGAGATCCCTACTGCGCATGGGCTGAGCTGACATTGTCTGAAATACAAAGCACAAGAGTTCAGTGTGGTCTTGCTAAGATGATTGGGGTGCATGGTCAGTAATACTCACAAGACAGACATCCCCTCTAATGGCAAGAGCACAGGCTCCAAGAGACAAGGTATGGGTGGCAAGAAAATTGTGTAGAGCCCAAGCAAAGAGATTGTGGTGGGAAGGGCTGAGATGGTCCTTTGCAGGGTGCATGGAGCGTTGGAGGCTGGAAAGGCCAGAGGCTGCTTTGTAGAAGACTAGAGCAGCAGGGAGTTGGAGGAGGAGGGTGGCCCTGCAGCGGGGCAGGAGATATAAGCATGGTTTAAGTGCGGCTACTTTACTCCATTGACTTTACTGGGAAATTCCGGTTTACTTTGCGACTTTCAAAGGATTCTTCTTGTTAAACATCCTAATTGATCAAGCACTTTCTCCCTGTGCTTCTGGTTGTTGAATTCCGATCTCCTCTAAGCAAAGGGGAAAGAGAGTCGCTACTCAGGTGCCTGAAGAGTCCCCCATGGGAACACATTCTGATGCCCATTAGTTGAAAAAAAATCAAAACTCTTGTCTGCTGGACAGTGTTAATCCCCAGACAATCTGTGACTATGTAAAAGGAAAACAAAACTCTTAAATCTAATCGTTACAAAACTACTGAAGTAATAAATAATTGGGCAAAAGTGGCTGACAGAAAATATATGAAAACTTAAAGGGCTGGGGGTGTACCTCAGTAGTAGGGTTGTTGATTAATTATATAACTAAATGCATGTTTGTAAATAAAGCCCCTAGACAATAGCATGTGGATCCTGTGCATCCTATAAATCTGTCTGAAATGAACATCAAACTCTGTGACATCACTTTATCTCTTACTGCAGGCCAGGTGGGAGGGTACAGTGGGATGGGATCCAACCCTAGCTCCTTATGGTTACAGAAGGAGACATGGCCTGACTGTCTGCCCATGTTTATCTTTTAAATCTTAGGGTTCCAAACTTTTGGAAAGAAGACAAAGAGAGGGGTGGGGGAGAGAAAGGGATGGCAAACAGCAGAAGTCATGATTTATCTGTGACAGCATTTTAATCAGGCAGCATAGAGGAGGCCCAGAGCAGGCGGGGAGCATCAAAGCGTGTTCCCCAGGAGAAGTGTAAAGCCCTGGTTAGTTAGCTCTGTCCTAGCAGGATGTCTTGGAGGAATACATTGACATCTGATTCCAGAGCTCTCTGCTGTCTTTACACCCTGCTGGGGAGCCATTAGCCTGCTGCTCAACATCTTTGGAAGAAAAAAAAAGTGAGAAAGAAGGAGGAAAAAAAGGCACCATCAAAGTTTGAAGTCACTGTTGAGGCAGCCTTAGGGATAAACAGAAACCCTCCTGTCGCAGTCTCATTTTGAGCTGCTGTTTGCAAGAGCAAACTTAAGTTTTTGCCCTTATTTTTGTTCTCAACTTGAACCCCAGAATACCTAAGAATGGCAATGATGCCCAGAGGCCTGATGAATCTGTTTGTTCAATACTGACAGCTTTTCCAAGGAAATCAGATTTTCATCTCATCCCCAAACTGGAGGATGGATTTCCTCGTTGACACTGCAAAGGCAGTACCCTGGAATTTAATCCCCAGCACCTGGTAAACCAGCCCTGGTCATGCACAACTGTATTCCTATAACCCTGCAGTAAGGAGATGGAAGCAGGAGGACCAGAGCTTAAGGGTCGCATCTGCTACATAGTGAGTTGGAGGCCAGCAGGGGCTATATGAGACTTTGTCTCAAAAACAAACAAGCAAACAAAACCAACAACAAGAAAAATAGTGACAGAAGTTCCACAACAGACAACAAATTTGGAATTTTACTTTGTTTATGGATTTATTTTAACCAATAGTAATGATTGTCTTGGAACATGCAGTCCTCCTGGTACAGCTATTAATGTGCTCCCTAAGAAAAGTGAAGGGGAAAGTCTTCAAAGTATATTTGAGGAATGGAAAGATGAGTCAGCAGTTAAGAGCACCATCTGCTCTCTCAGAAGACCTGGGTTCAATTCCCAGCACCCACATGATGTCTCACAACCATCTGTAGCTCCACTTCCAAGGGATCCAACAGCCTCTTCTGACCTTCAAGGAAACCTGGCACTCATGTGGTATAGACACACACATTCAGGCAACACACCCATTGTCCTAGTTAGGGTCAAAAGCAACTTGGGGAGGAAAGTGTGTATTTCAGCTTATAGTTCCACGTCCCCAGTCCATCACTGAGGGAAATCAGGACAGGAACTCAAGCAGGACAATAACCTGGAGGAAGGAACTGATACAAAGTCATGGGGGAATTCTGCTTACTAGCTTGGTCCTCATGGCTTGCTCAGCCTGCTTTCTTATAGCTCCCAGGACCATCTACCCAGGGATGGCACCGCCCACAGTGAGCTGGACCCTTCCACATCACCATCAATCAGGAAAATGCACCACAGATTTGCCCACAGGTGGGGACATTTCTTCACCTGAGTTTCCCCTTCCCAAATGACTCTAGCCTATATGAAGTTGACATAAAGCTAGCCAGCACACCCATACACATAAAATAAAATGTTTTAAATAATAAAATATAGTATAATATACTTGAAATTGTGGAGGTT